AAGTTATTCATCTATTTACTGTAAAATTGTAAAAAATTCTTGAATTTTGTAAAGAATCATGAGTTATTTTTATAAGAGGAATTCATTTTCAAGCCCAACCCGTTTCAATTTTCTTTTATTTATTGAGTTTTTAACTCACGTTTTGGATTTGGATTACCGACCCTGAGTTCAGGTGACATAATTGTTGTGATTTAATTTATTTGTGTGCAAATATTTAGTCCCTAGGCATTTGAAAAATTAAGAAAGTACTCCTAGACCCGCTTAGGTGTCTACCTAACCCGCCTAGGCACCTGCCTAACCCCCTTAAACCCGCCTAGCCTGTGACTTTCACTTAGATAGAAAATCAAAAACTCTCATTTTGTATTTTATTTTTTTGAATAAAATGTAAGAGTTTTTTAAATACATAGATAAACACTCATTATATGTTTTTTCCTCATGTTTTCTATATGTTCTAATACTTGATAATCTCTAGTCAATTTATTTTGCAATTTATATATCCAAATACAATTATGTGTTCCCTTAAGTATAGATGTTCACTTATTTATACAATATATTATAAATATACTTAATTCGCTAGTCCACTTAGGCACCCGCCTAGCCGTCTAGGTGCTCGACTCCAACTCGTCGCCTAACATTTTTAGAACCTCGGTTGTACAGAGTTAATAGTGCTTAACTTCGTACACTTTCGTTTAAAAAAAAAAAAAAAATCTTAGTTTCCCATCAAGAATTAGTTGAATTTCACGCATGGATGATAAAGCATGACTCCAGTCCAATTGATTCTTGAATTGTCCCATTCTTTTGACAGTTTGGGAATGCATAGTTATGTGTCGTAGTTTGCGGTTCATAGATTAGGTTTCAACCGTGGGAAGTTCAGTAACATCTTTCTCGTTCTTCGAGCGCAAGATAGGTATTTATAAATCTACGTCATGCACTTGAAGAATTGTAGGGAGATGTTGCTGGAACTTTCCCACGTCGATATCTAATCTAATAAAGCCATAAATTACATCACATAACTGTGCATTCCCAAATGGGATAGGGCCTTTACTGGAGGCATAAGATGACAAGATCTTGTTGAAGTTGTTGTAAACATTGTATTTTTATTGTGGTTGCAAATGTAATGGATGGGCAGTGGATATAGAATCTAAACAGATGTGCAGATGAATACTTGGATAGAATAAAAGAGTTTATCTTTGCACGACAAAATTTTTCTTTGTGCGACAAACTTCATCGCAAAAACTGTTAAATGTCGTAATGTTGTGAGGTATCGCGTTTTTGTAAAGTTTGATTTGACCATGCTCAAAGACATGATAACTTTTGGTAGGCATCGATCAAAATGAGTCCACATCCTCTTTGTGAGGATTCCGGGAATCCGTGAATCGTTTTCGTTCATTGCACATCGTGGGGTCAGAAATCATTTTAAGTATTTTTATTTAAAAATAAATATAAACAGTACTTGACAAAAACTAACCGCATGATTTACGATGAACGAATATGATTCATGGAACCCCATGATCCTCACTAAAAGGATCTGAAGAGGATCTTGTTGGGAACAATATACACTCTCTCTCATGATAATATGTACTTAATTGCGATAACTAATACGATCTTTTGAAATCCACAAGCCTTTTAGTCAAATGGTCTGTTTAGTCAAATAATCCTGGGATTAACATATCTCCACTTTAGTCCTTGATAATGAAAATCTATAGAAGTAGTCCTTAATTTGTCCACCATAAATCATTTTAGTTCTTCCCTGAAAAATCTTTCAATATTCTCGTTAAATGTAGGAGTTGTTTTGAAAAAAAAAATACCCTTAAAAAGGTGGTCACGTAGTCGTTCAAGTGATAATTTAATGAAGATATTGACACACCCCAACCGAAGTCGAGATGTGTTGGCCATCACATGAGGATGACGTAGCCAAGTGCACAACAGAAGTGATGATGGTAATAGGTAAATGCGAATAAATAAAAACAAACCTAAGCTAATATAACTAGTGATAATAAGTAAGTGCGTGAAAGTGATCAAGTACCAAATACAAGTATTCAGAGTATAGGCAATCCAACAGTGCAGTCAAACCAACTAAGTGCTAATTATACAAAATAGGGAGAAGATCCCTACAGTTATTTAGTAGATCGTCAGAACCGTCGAGAAGATCTCGTGAGCCACCAAGATGTACAACTACCTAGGACCTGGAGGGGCGCAAAACAGAAGGGTGAGTGGGCAAAAACAAAACATCTATAAACATATTTATCTTTTCTGAACATTATAACCCCTCACTATAAAACCCGTATAGTTTCCAGAAAATTACTACGTATACGCAAACGAATACCAATGCACAAAGATAGTAAAAACTGAAATATGCCATGTCATAACGTTTCTGCACTAACAGATGTAAGTCAGGTGAAATCAATATAAAGTACTATGCCAGTCAAAGTCACCTAATGTGACCTATACAACTGGACCCATAGCTCATCAGTATATGCTAGCACACGAGTCAGAACTACCTATTGTGGTCTATATGACAGGGCTGGATGTAAATATGTACACTCAAGTGCTATGATCACATGAAGGCTGTGCGAATAATTGCGGGTCATCTATGAGTCGAAACCACCTATTGTGGTTTGTACAACAAGGCTGGCACCAAACATGGATCCAAGGTGAGCATGTAGTGCGGGAGGTAAACATCATGTGAAGGACTGTGCCCTAACCTCGGGCGGGAGCACTAACACCAAGGTGCATTGATGAGCTTTAAATGCATCTATGCATAATGATGTGCAATGCAACCAATACCATCACAATATACTCACTTGAAGCTTACTTAAGCCTCCGCAGCATCAAACAATATAATTCACGATTGATAATAATGAAATACTTAAAATGTAACTCATTTTGACATGGCATTTAAAGCATAAATCATTTTTAAAAAAAAAAATTCTAAAAACCACAATATATATATATATAGAAAGTAAATGCCCACTCACTGATAAGTAGCAGGATCGTATCCCCCCAATCTCGCTTGTGCACGCTCATCCTCAGGGTACGTTTCACCTATATGCAAAATAACTAATTTTTTGTTAATTTTAAAGCACATACATAAACCCAAGGAATAACTTCTCATACATTGCTCAAATGGGATATACCAAAATGATATACTCGACAACACGAACACCCCCATATTTTTAGAATAATTTTTGGACGTCACACGCGCCGACCACGCGCAGGCACGTGCTTGGCACACTGACGGAATCCCTAATGGCGTTAGGAAATATTCCGTTAAAATACTAACAGAGTTACCTGACGCCATCAGTATATTCCGTCAAAGTTGACGGAATATTCCTCTTCTTCTCCGATGACTAGCCAGAATCCGCCGCCGTCTGTACTAGCCGGTTTCTGGAAAATTTTAAAACTCTTATATCTAACTCATTTTTCAACCAAAATCCACAAAATTTATATGGATTTGAAGCTCTTGAGGAATAAAACAAGTTCATACCTCTTAAGAGTCCAAAATCAAACAGGAAAGGGCTTAAAAATCCCTCGAATGAACCGGCCAAAATTGAAACTTCTCAAACTCACTTGTTCTGATGTCAAGTCCTTCCTAAACTTACTCTAGAGTCCTTAGGGAGTTACGTGGAGGTTTCCCTAAGTCTCAAAACCAAGTAATTCATCTGTGATCACATCAACCCAAGCTCCACCGAGTAGGAGCTCACAAGCCACCGACTCAAAGTTCACCAAATCGAAGAACAAATGGTATAACAATGATCGTGAGGTCGAGGGGAGTCTGATGGTAAACTTCACAAGTTCGATCAGTAAGAGTTTGAGGTGTAAGTGCGTTGGGGATGTCTCAGGTGCAAGAAGAAGAAATAGGAAGTCTCATGAAGGAGAGAGAAAGAGGGTTCGTGTGTGTGTGTGGGTTCTGATTGGGCAGAAGAGGGAGAGGTATTTTAAAAAAAAAAAACAAAAACAAAATTTGATTGGGCCCAAGGAAATAGGAACCTCTATAATTGGTCCACAATTTACCCGTTTATGCACTTAAATAATCGTAACTTTTTCATTACGAATCCGATTCAACCCTAACTCGCATCGACACGCTCATGACATCGAGTACAATCTAATTACAATAGCGAGGAAGATTATTTAAAACTGCATATGTACATCCACATCACTAAGCCACCGAGGGTATAATCGTCACTTTACACATTAAGGGAGAAAAATATATAATAATTTGGGACGGGTCGTCACAGATATTGATAGATTTTTCATGAATTTATTTCCATCAAATCTAGCTTCTTATAATTTTTACTATTGTATTGATGAGAGGTTACATATATAGTTAGTAAATTCACATATTATACAAGTATTTACATGTTCTAAAAAAATACTTCTATTTTCGTACACGTTTTAATGATTCATTAAATTGCATGTTTTTTTATAAGTCCAACATAGAATACACGTTTTAAACATATATGTACATACTTTCATGTTTAATACATGTAAAATTCACATATCCAACACGTATTTTTAACATAAAATAATTAATTTAAAAAAATAAAAAAAGTGATTGAATTTTTCAAGTTGAAGTTTTAGCATTGTTGTTGAATAATACACGTACGTATTTTTCACATACTATACTTGTTTCATATTTTACGAACTATGTTTAGGGCTAATAAGGCTATAAATATTCTTTGTTGCCTAAATTTTTTTAGCATCCCTATAGTAGAAGGTTTAACTTGATTATGTTAAATGAGTAAATATTCATTAGATTTTTAAGAAGGAAAGTCCGAAGGAAAAAAAAAAACACATAAGAGAATTGTTATCATTAAGTAACTCTAAAGAAAATTAGTTAGCATAAACTTTCAGATAGAATCCACAAACTAAAGGCATCCCATAATAAGCAAACATAGTACAAAAGACACAAAGCTAATCACATTTAAAGATGCAAACTCAAGCCTTATATCATGCATACAAAGTAAATAGGAGAAAATGAACTTAACTTTGCCCTCAACTCACTTGACTGGAACAATACTTTCTACATAAATAAGAGCTTGAGAATCTATGACCCTATTGATAATCGGAGGAATATGAAGATAGGTGAGATATCCAATGCCAGAATTATAAGAGATGACTCTTCCATCGGTGTCAATCATAAGAAGCTCGTCACATTTCCAAAGTGTCAATGGCTTCTCAATGCCTTTAAAGGGTCCAGCGACTAGGAGTTTTGTCCATGAACTCTTGACTGCATCATAATCGTCCATTACCCATATTTCACATGATTTAGAATCTTCACTTCGATCATAAAGAGAGCAAAAAGAAGCAATGGATTCATTACACAAAAAAATATAATAAAACTCAAAACCGGATTCTCTCCTAGAAGGCAATTGTATTCTATGAAATATCTCATTGCCTAAATCAAATGAAAGTATGAATTCCTCACCATCCCTTGTAAACCAATAACAAAATCCCTTCAAGTACACTGAACAAGAACAGGGATAAGTTTTACTTGATATATCAATCTTGATCTCTTTCCAAGAGTTAGTAGCCATGGTGTATACCTCAGCCGTGTGAGGCAGAGGAATACGAAGATAATATGTTCGCTCATCATCTGAATACTCACAATTTTCTATAATTCGCACAACCTTGTAATCTTTAGCTTTGCAATCATAGCCAAATCCCAATCCTCCAAAATCGGTCTCCAATTCGAATTTTCCGCCGAGAGGGGAAGGTAGGAGAAGGAATGAATCAGGAAGTTGCCTGAATCCCCTCGTTGCAGGATTGCATAAAAGAATATTTTTCCCTGATATTACACAGACAATTCCATTGCAATAACCATGAATCAGTACATGTTGATGGTCATCCCTTGGAAACGGTATATTTAGGTCCTCAACACCATAATAAAGGGTGCATGCAACTCTATCATTAAAAAAATTAATCATGGACCATAAAACTTCATGTTTCCAACTCTTGTCCGGGAAAACGTGAACCTGAGAACGGTTGAGGAGGATAGAAGTATAGGATGAGAATTTGTTGTCCACAGCATTGCTAAGGTGTTTGGCCACAAAACTTGGACTGTTGATGAGAGTGCACCAAGACTTGCGTATGCATTTGAATCGCATCAGAGACTTGGGCGGCAACTTGGACATGATCGCGACCACCCTATCTTCAGAAGTTTCAGTTTCACGCACCTTGGACATTTCGGCAGTTTTTTTTCCACAGGAATTCTTCACATTTATAGATACACAGGAAAGAACACCACCAGTTAGAGAGACAAACTAAATCAAACTCCAAGTCCCTAAGGCCTGATAGATTGACGTTCAATTACTAAACTTATTAATTACCACATAAGATGCTAAAATCCAAAAATACTAAATAAACTTGGAGTTCCATTACTGCAACATATATAGCTATCAAAGAAAATAGGGGTGATCCAGATTTGGCTTTTTTGAGTTTCCGAATGAAAACAAGGGCGAACCAGTCAATTTCGAGTGTTATGGAGGATCATACGTTCAAATTTAACTATTTTTAAAAATTTTATTGATACCAAATTAACCATTCAAATTTTTCTTTTTAATTCTATATTAAATTAATGAAATAAAAAAAAATTAATGAAGGGAACCTAGTTTTTCCATTTAGATATTGGTATTAGACAAATTTCCAATATTTTTCTTTCTCAAAAATCATTTTGAGACTAAATACACAAAAGCATTATTAAATTATAAAAATGAAAAATTTTGTTTATGTTGTGACTTAAATTTAATGAGAGAAAGAGAAGCTACGACATAGAAAAGAGATGGAAAAAAGGCTTGAAGAATTATGTATGTTCTTTTTCATGCCTTGTGTCTTTATTTATAGTAATAAGGAGGACAAATAACTTTCTCTTCAAGTAATACAAGTATAATAGGAAAGATTTGCTAGATCCCAAAGCATTCCTAATTGATCTCTACTTAGGATTTAGACAATCACATATGTGCTAATAATGTTCTCAACACTCTCAGTAGACACATCAGATCTTCAAAAAAATATATGGAATTAGTATTGTCTAGTAGGCCCAATGAGCAAATGCGCATCTCAAAACAAATGAAAGAATGCATAGGTAATAAAATTCACAAAACCTTGTTACGGTAAAATGTAAGTAGAATGCTTACAAGGGTATGATCAAGTCAGGATGGGTGCGCCTTGTTAAAACCTAGCCCGGTAGCAATAACCCAGTGAAGAAAATGTTCTTAATCATAGGGAAAAAGAGTACATTATGGTCAAGTGAGTACACTTTTGGATACTCCGTTGAGTTTGAGAAAACTTCCAAATGAAAACTACAAGCATTGCAAATGAGATAGTTACGTATACTAATTCCTCGGACAAGCTTTTGGAAGATGAACATCTGTAACGACTTCGTGAAGAGGTTGGCAAAGTTGTCTTGGGATTGAATTTGCTTGATTTCAATCTTCTAGTGCTCATGCTGATGTAGACGCAATATGCTTGGCGTTTGCTTCTTGGATGCATCATGTTATGATTTGGTAGATACATGTGGCATTGTCTTCAAAGATCGTTTTTGGGACTCAACGATGGATGAAAAACAGGTACTTCAAATATGCTCAACAAGAACTCTTAACCATGTTTCTCTCGTGTGGTGTAGTAAGGTGTGTTAAGTACAACAAACTCTAGTCGCACTAAGATGTGGAACTTTAGGCTCTGTTACCTTCTCAAATGTCTCATTTGCATCTAGTGAATAGATATACGGGGTATACTCAGATGCAACATCTAGTGTATAGATTCGACTCGTGGACCAAGAATACCGCACAACTATGGTCAAACTCGCAGAAAAAAATTCCACCGAGAACTCAAACTCGAGTTCTCCCTTTCCCCTCCACCAAAACACACATGCAAGGACATGTTTGAGTTCCCCAGGTTACACTGATTCTAAATTTGGTGGTTTTGAGGTGAGATTCAAGATGGATTGTTGTGGTCTGGGGTGGTGGTGCACGGTGCTGATAAAGAGAGGATGAGAGAGATCGAGAGTTAGAGAGGGAGAATGTTTCAGAAAATGGAAAGGAAGAAAGCAGGAGTAGGTTACGTCCCACTAAAATTCCTCCCACACGAAATTACTATTGTTCCCTTCACTAATTTAATTTCCTAACTCCGACTCTCGTAACCCGAATTCAATTCTACTTTCACCCGTGCACTCGTGGGTTTGAAAAATAATTTAAATAAATAAAAAATATGAAAATGAAAAAGGAAACTTTCATGAAAAGGGTTTGAACTAAGTTTATTTTAATAAAAAAATCATGCTATAACTTTATTTAAATAAAAAGACTTAAATTTTGATGAAAAACCCTTAAATTTTAATAAAAAGGACAAAAGAACTTAAATTTTAATGAAAAAGACATAATTTTAATAAAAGGGACAAAAAATCTGATATGGACCTTGGATCAACTAAACCTCGATCACAAAAGCCAAAATCACTAAAACCATAGCCACAATCACAGTAGTGTTGGCACTGCTGGAAGGGGAGGCTAGTAAGCTTGGCCAAGTTGCTTTTGTGACCCTTGGATCTTCTGACCTTCGAGGCTCAACATTGAGCCTTCATGGTATAGGTTAACTAAATTATAGACTAGCTAAATCAAATCAAATATACCCAAGTGCCTTCCTTGGATCTTCTGACCTTCGGAGCTCAACATTGAGCTTTCCTGGTGTAGATTAGCCATGGCCGTGCAGTTGGCATCAAACATGTACGTAGTAGTGCTCAACAAAGGCCTTGAAAAGTGCGTTTGGATTGCGCCGCACCTGATTTTCGCACCAGAGAGGAAACTCGGCTGCGAAATTTGTTAGATGCAAAACGAAGTGATGGGAGGAGACGGAGCGAGTTGACAACTGGGTTTGAGTTGCACGCACTTGTTTTTTTCCCTTTTTTTTTTTTTTTTTTTGTCCTTATCATTAAAAAAAAAAAACTAATGGATGGTTTTTGGTTAAAATTAAAATTCTTTTCATTAATTTTTCTAATTAAGAATCTAACTCGGAGGTCCATAATTACTCAAGACGCTAAATAGGGGTATTTTGATCATTATATATATATGTTGCCTGAAAATTAACTCAGATATCCATAATCACTTGTCCTCGGAAATTTACAACAGCCTAATCCAGCTAGTGCTGGCAACAACATCGTAATCTGTTGACCGGAAAATTAACCAGCTACCTGCCATTATATATATAAATAAATAAATATATATATATATATATGTACGTATGTATATGCATATATAAACAAAACAGGTCCACATGAAGTGTATAATATAGGGACAAAAATAAATTTGCAGTACACATTTTGACTGGAAAGAATACATATGGCCAACACGAATTAGGTGAATTGGAGTACGTATAGCCATTAGACTTTACATATAGGCCAACTTGATATGATATTATAGAGAAAGTTGAGGTTCCACCATAAAACTAATTGGAAATATATGGGAGTAGCTCAACCTCTTATAAGCTCTTACAAGGTTTTTCCTTTCACCAAGATGGAATTCTTTTACCTTCACATTCTCATACATATAACCTAACCCCTCTAAAACAAACCTAAAACATAAAAACCTGCAAGCAAGCTTTGAAACACCAAAAAACAAAGTGGGGAAAAAAAAAATTCACACATCATGAGAGAAAGATTGACTTATAAGCCGAAGATGCACAATATTTTGAAAATCGAAAGCCAGGTAAGCCAAGACAATTTGGATGCAGTGAAGCTAAAACTGCCGAAGCTAGCAAAATGAAATTAATTACCCGTATCATTACTTCATTCCACTTTTCAAATGGGGATTAAAGTTAAGTTGTTAACAAAAGCCTCATTTGGTGCCTATGATTGGATTATAATTGATAACTAATTATGCTCTTTTTTTTCCCTTTTTTTTGGTTGTAAATGATAGATTTTGTTAGATTAACCACCAACGGGATTCGAATCCACTCCGTCATTAAATTCTGAAAATTGCAAAAATAACCTTAAAACTTGAAAGCTATTAGGTTTTTAAGAAGGGAATTTTGAAGAACAAAGGAAAACATAAGGGAACTGTCAGTGTTCATTAACTCTAGAAAAATAGTAAAATACTATCAAATAGAATAAAATTACAAAATGTGGAAAACCCAAAAAACTGAAGGCAGCCCATGACAAGCAAATATATTCCGAAGGCCGCAAACCAAAACTAAAAAATGCAAACTCTAGCATTATATCATACATACAAATTAAATAGGAGAAAATCGAACTTTGCCCTCTACTCACTGGACTGAAACAATACTTTCCACATAAATAAGAGCTTCAAAATCTGCAACCTTATTGATAATAAGAGGAATATGAATATACTTGAGATTTCTAGTACTAGAATTATAAGAGACGGCTCTTTTATCAGAGGTAACCATAAGAAGCTCGTCACTTTTCCAAAATGTCAACAAATTCTCATTGTCTTTAAAGGGTCCAAGGGTTTGTAGTTTTGTCCATGAACTCTTGACTCCATCACAATCGTCCATTACCCATATTTCAAGTATTTCCAATATTCCAGAATTGTCATTATCATAATGAGAGCAAAAAGAAGCGATGGATTCATTATACAGAAAAATATCATAAAACAAAAAACCGGATTCTTTCCTATCAGGCAATTGTATTCCTCGTCATCGCTTGCAAACCAATAACAAAATCCCTTCAAGTATACTGAACAAGAACAATTATAGGTATCACTTGATATTTCAATCTCGATCACTCTCCAAGAGTTAGTAGTCGTGACATATACCTCAGCCGTGTGAGGAAGAGCAATACGATGAGAAAATGTTCGCATATCATCTGAATACTCACAATTTTCTATAATTTTCACAACCTTGTATTCTTCAGCTTTGCTATCATAGCCAAATCCCATTCCTTGAAAGGTCGATTCCAATTCGAATTTTCCCTCCGGAGGGGAAGGTAGAAGAAGGCATGAATCAGGTAGTTGCTTCAGTTCCCTCGTTGCAGGATTGTATAAAACAGCATTTTTCCCTACTATTAGACAGACAATCCCATTGCAATAGCCATGAATCGATACATGATCATGATCTTCCAATGGAAATTGTATATTTAGGTCCTCAACATCATAATAAAGGTTGTGCTCATCACTATCATGGGAAAGATTAATCATGGACCAGAAATATTCTCGTTTCCAACTTCTGTCCGGGAAAACGGGCATCTGAGAACGGCGGAGAAGGATACAAGTGGAGGATGAGAATTTGTTG